AATATAATACGTGTATATGTGCATGCACAGAAGAAATTATCTATTAAATAGAATACTACGGTAATACAAACTAGAGAAGGTACCTAATCATTCCAGTTAATATTTTAGACCCTCAAGGAGAAGGTCGTAAATATAGTCTTCTTCACAAAGGGCCACCTGTTTTACCCAACTGACATCAAAGTCAATTGTCCTGTTCTTGCAACTCTGCAAAACAGTGTAACACAACCACTTTCATGTTTTAGTGCACAAAAAATACACAGACATGCATCATATCTAAGGTACACAGTTGGCCTTCACAGCCCACGCCAAGTTTTCTGGAAAGGCATGAGGACAGTGTGGTCCTGCTCATCCACAGACAGTCCATGAAAGGAAAGATTGGTTGACACACCAAGTGACACAGTGCTGATGCACTCTCTAAGCCTTAAGGAAATGTCAAGTGGACATAATACAACAAAGTTTGGTCCCTAACAGTAAGCAGCTTACATGCTATTTGAAGTACTACCACAGACAACTCTTTTATTAAATATAATGGAATATTGTCACTTTAATAATAATAAATTTTTTTTTGGAAATACTAAAACAAATTCTGATATTTTTTCAAAATTGTTTATACCTGTTTATGTTCCCACATGTAAGACCATAAGAGAGATCAACAAATTACAAGATTTCCCTAAAATTATTTCAGTTTCCCCATTTGAATCTCCAGTATCAACAGTTTGAACCCATGTGCTAGGAAATCAGGGTTTGCTTCAAAAGAGCAGATCACGCTGTGGGAAGTTTGTATCTGTATTGATAATTAGGGAAAAGAACAGAGACCTCAGAGTAGGTGTTTTATGTAATGAATACTCCCAGAAGTACATAAATTAAATGATGTAGTTTGTTATGGGCACAATGTGTTAAGTCATTTCAAAATTGTCAAAATGCATTGTTTCTTCTGTAGAGATACGTCTAAACGCAAACGCTAAATTTGAATATATGATTTGCTTGTGTTGTTTATGTTTTTGTAAAACCTCACTATGTGTAAACTGTAGAAGGAAGAGTTTTTTATTGCTACATTTATCAATGTTGTAAAAATAATAGAAAGATGTCTATGCAGCCAGGTTTCTTTGAAGGAAGACCGAGGGAAAGTTTTTGTCTCTTTTTAAAATGAACCACCTGCTTTACTTTCAAGTTTTATATGTGTTTATTAAATTACAATTAAATTAATGAAAGCCATGAAGAAAAGATTACAAGGGCATATTTTATTTTCTTTTTTATAAACCACAATAAGCTTAGATTTTTGTATCTTCCCCAAAATCCTTCTTAAATTATGTTCACATCAGTCTACCTAATGCTTATTCAAATGCCGATCTAAATAGCTACACGCATGCCTATATATAACATTAATAAATTTCACACTCTATTACTACTTATATGGAAAAATACATCTAATGCTACATATTTTTAAATACACAGCTGTGGAATAATGAATGCTGTCATGTGGTTAAGCAGAGGACAAATTAAACACATGAGAAAAAAATTATTAACATTCATTGTTTTTAGGTTTTATTTTGCATCTAATATTTCATCTCATATTTTATCATCTGGCATATTTTCCTCTAGGTAGTATGCGAATAGAAATTGCTGAACTCCAATGAGAATAATTATGTCATTTCAAATGCTTGGGATAGATAACTATTCCAAATTCATGACACACAAATTGTTTTTCTATATCCTTGAATATAAACTTGTCTAGTAACAGAAAAAAAATAATATCATAAACATTTAAAGCCAAAACTATTCTTTCATGAGATTATATGCTTACTTCTTGTAGATATCTGGAATTATTAGTTATATATTTATAACATTCTATAATTCATTTTAAAATCTCCCTATACAAAAATGCTTTCAGCCAATTATGGTTGACTGGCATTTTGATATGACTGAGAGAAAAGTTTAACATGAATAATAGTTATAACTGCAATGCTTTCAAAAAACTGGATTTGTAAAGAGATTCCAAAATTTACAACAAATTTAATTTAACATTATAATACTAGCCATCACACATGTAATCCTGAATTTTAAAATGGAAGTGTTTTAAAATATGTCTGGAGCAATCATTTCTAGAACAAGAGAGCTACCCTTTTTGAAAAGTACATTTTAAAACCCCAGTACAACACGTGCATGCTATAACATGAAAAGAATGTATTTTCCGCTTAATGTCTGTATTAGGTTGTTGCTACCATAGATTTATGCTGCACACCTTATGGAAACAAACATTTCCAAAAGGAACACCAATCTCAGAGAAAGAACTGTATCAAAATTCCTTTATCTGGAAAAAAACCATTATTTTAGTGTTAGAACAGTTCCACTATTACTTTAATACAGGAAAATATGCCATATTAGGTATGTATTACTAGAGAACAGAAAACGAAAGAAGATATTTCAATTAAGATATGATTTGTTTTTATTATAATACCTTTTGTAATATTTCATATTACTGTAAATACTACCTAGGAAAAAAAACTGAAATTCTAATTCTGGTCCAAGGACAATTAATGCATAATTAATTTACTGGGTGATGGCATGTTCTTTTTCTAATGATGATAAAAACTTTTTCACTGAAAAATAAAATTGTGAAAAACCAAAAAAAGTTACTAATGATTTCCAGAGAAATTTACATAGAGAAACGTAATTTGCTGTTAGTGACGACTACAATCTTTGAACTCAGTTTTTACAAACTTGAATTTTTCCCCCAAAGATTTGACATTTGTCCTGATTAAACATTGCATATGAATTCTTTTCTCGAAAGAAATGCCAATGGCACCACATCTTGGTGAAATTAATCCCTCATTTTTTAAATTTCATAAAGTTTATTCAGAAATCTAACCTGAAGTACAAATGTCAACCAATATTTCTCCTTTTCTCAGATGATGTTACCAACTTTTCAAATAAACAATGAAACATGAAGGTTTACAAAAATATTATGACTCCTACCTACAGGAGACTGACTTAGCTCTACAAAATCCTTTATTCAGTTTTTAATTCATGAAATAATTCTGTTTTATAGAATTTTAAAATATCTTGAATTTTTCCATTGTTAAACAAATTTCAAATCCTTTCAAGGAAAAAAAAATTTAGTGTCCTAATTCCCATTTTAGCCCACTATTTATTCTCTTTCTTGTCCCTTATAAATCTCTGGCATAAAAATTGAGTTATTTTAATTTTAGAAATGTATTTACTGCAGATATCCTCCTTACAGTAAGAATTTTTACATTTCTATTTTACCATAGTATGTTTACGAATAAAAGGCTCCATTTGGTTTTAGTTTGAAAGGCCATAGTTTTACCCAGAGATATGATGATGCATTCTCCCTAAACGATAAAATATTGATAAGTTGTCAATTAAAACCACAACACTGTGACTCTTTTTTAAAGAGCTACTTCTTTATTTAACACAAAATGCGAGTCCCTTGAGTTCTCACTTTGCAGGCCAAGCACCAAAAAGGCTAAACCAATTAAATAAATAAAAATGTGATTTCTTCCTAAGAGTGAATAATTTGGAAGCATCTTTAGGATAATTCTTACTCTTTCTGTGTTTAAAAATACCCGGTTGAAAATTCTGCCAATTAAACGAAGATCTACAGATGGCATTTACCCTTTTGCTTCATAACAAAAAGAATCTGCGATCAGTTTTATGGAAGAGTATCTAAAGAGGAACATTACTGTAAATCAAGGACGAAAAATGTTTGACACTCCCCTCCTCGGGGTGAGAATGTGCATCCTCTAGATTCTCGCACTGACATCTAATGTAATAAATACTTTAGGATGAATCTTAAAAGATAGCTGCAGGGAAAAGATTCGCTGTTAGTATCTACCCCAAACTCCAATATTCAGCACTCAGCCAACAAAGGACAGCAAATAATTCCCAGCAGCATAAATAACGGGAAAGCCACCTTGGGCTTTGTTTTTGTTATGTAAAATGCATTAAAGTGACTCATCCACTTAAAGATTACCTACTCTTAGAAGCTTTAAAGTAGCTTGAAAAACCAAAATAAACTCTTTCCCAGAATGCCGAATAGGCTATTCAGTGCACTTAAAAATATATATATATATTTTTATGTGCCACTGACTTTGACTCTATTTTGCAGCCTAAGAGAGGAGAGAATTAATATTTTTCACTCTCTTCCTGCCGTGTGACAAGAGCTACCTAAAAACACTGCACTTCCAGAATAGCAGGGAGGTTTTTTATATATTTAAAAGTTATTTTAGAAATGTTAAAAATAACAGAAATGGGAAGAGACTCTGGAAACAGTCCCTCCCCCCAAAGAATAGGTTCTCTATTCATTCTAAGAACAGGAACCGAGTTTCTGCTCGCTCTTAGATGTTTCAAATAATGGGTTTAGAAGGCTGGATCGCGTGGCTCAGTACCGGCGAGCCCCCTGGATGGACAGCACGCTCTGCCACGGGGAGCCAGCACGCTTCTAATCAGAAAGGCTGTCAAGCGCACTCAGCAATGTGGGGTCTCAACGAGTTAGGGCAGTATTAGCAATCAGTATCTCCGAGGCCACAGGCGGGAGAAGTCCGCACTACCCTGGCAAGCCTGAAATTACCTTTTGCAAAATACCCAACTAAAACACAACTTTTTAGTGAGCTGGGTTTGATGAGAGCGGGTATCTGGTTGGAAACTTTTCCCCCCACTACAGCTAAACTCTAAGTCGCGAGGATGCTTTGAGAGAGGGGCTGAGGCGCCGCGAGACGTGGCGGACGTTTGCCGGGACAGCGCGGCCCCGGCGCCCGGCCCAGCCCAGGCGCCCGCGCCGGCCGCGGGTTCCGTGCGCTTTCCAGCTGCGAGCCGCGCGCGCCTGGCGATCGGCCTCTCCACATCCCAGCCCCGCTCGCCTGCCGCCCGCTCCCCGCCCCCACGGGCAGGAGACCCCGCAACTCGGGACCGACCCCGTCCCCGGATCCCTCGGCACCCCTCGGCCTGCGCTCCCCGCCCTGCTCGGCCGGTTCACTTACGTGGTGGCAGAAGGGAAGGGCTCCTCCGACGAGGGGCCGATCAGCAAAGATTGGAAAAGTGTCAGAGTCAAAGCCAGCAGGCAGCCAGCAGCCATCTTCGCGATCGAAGATCAATCCCCCTTCCTCCCCAATCCGGGGCAGGAACGGCGCAGGAACCCGCAAGCGGAGGGACGGAGCACAGGCTGCCGCCCGGGTGGCGGACGTCTGGAGGGCCGGCGCCGGGGCCGGGGCGCGGAGTGGCGCGGGGGCAGCGAGGACGAAGCCGGCGCCGGGGAAGGGGCGGTGGCGGGCGGACCCACTAGCGCGCGGCCGCTGCTCCGCGCCGCGGCTGCCTCGCCTCCGCCGCCATCAAGGGCGACTTTGGAAACAGACCTGGGCGAGCCCGCCGGCGCTGGCGCGCTCTCTCTCGCTTTCTCTCTGGGTTTGCTCCCAGATTTATTCCCCTGATTGCTGAGGGGAAGGGGGAGGCGGAGGCGGGGGCGGAGGAGGGGTGACGGCGCCGGGGAGGGTGGGGGTGGCTGAAGCAGTGGCTGTCCAGGGTGTCATGATGAGAAGGCCTGGGGGCTACTTTTGGGCTCAGCAAATCCCTGGAGGGTGGGGGTGGCTGCAGGGCTGGGGGGATGGCAGCAGAGAGACTTGTGGAAGAGAGAAGCTCCGTCTGGCTTCTCTGGGCAGTCGGAGGGAGGTGGCTGGGGGCAGGCAGCGGGAGGGCTGGGCGTCAGAGCAGTCGGGCGGAGACCGGCCGGGAGCAGCCCTCCTTACAAGGCAGAAAGGAACTCCCAAACTCGGCGCCGCTCTGCTCCCGCCGCCGGCGTGCGGAGGGGGAGCGCACCGGCGCGCGGGGCTCCCGGGGGACAGCCAGCCGCCCAGCGGGCATCCACAGGCTGCAAAGGCTCCAGCCAAGTACTTGGCTCGTGTCTCCGGGGGTTATTTTTGCACTTGCGGGCAGCGTTCCCCCAGCCTTCTTCCAGGCGCAGAATCCGCTGCCTGCCTAGGAATCGTGAAGTGATTTGACAACAAATGTAGGAGGGGTTTGTATTGCATTTTAAAGCACCACTATTGACTCTCTACCAGGTGGCACTGTTTGCCTCTGGGTGTACCAGAGGTTAGAGCCTCTGGCGGGACTGGGGTGCTCACTGTGCCAGCGGCCCCACGCCCAGGTATGTGGCTTGGCTCACCTGGCGAGGACACTGCCTCAGAGGCCGGGCTGGGGACCAACAGAGAAGGACCAGATGTTGCAAAATCTTTCCAGCCTCGTGGTTTAGTAGGACCTGCAGGGTGCCGGGACGAATTCTTCCACCTAGGGAGGACAGGGCTTCGAGAGGGGCTTTGTAACATCCTAGTTGCTACCGCCTCCAAAAGGCTCTGGCCACTGTCCTGCCCTGCCTGGCAAGGTTGCCGCAGGGTGAGTTCACTTTTGTCAATGTGAAGGCATGAAAGGGTGAGCAGCAGGAACAGGTGGCACTCTGAGAAATGTGTCTGAAATGGAGAGGAGGAATGAGGGAGGCAGAGAGAGCTGGGGAAGAGCCGTGCCAGACTGATTCACCTGCACCTCCAGCAGAAGCAGTGGCGGGGAGAGCGCAGGCCTGTGGTGGGAAGAGCAGAGGAGGCTGTGGTTAGGCCTCTTCTGCCCGGCACAGGTCTCTTTTACGGAGGCACCTGGTGTGCCAAGGGTAGAAATAGCTTCCGGAACACCAGAGATTCTTAAGTCCCCCTGGTAGTCTCTGAGAATACTTTTGACCTGAAGTGCGGAGAACAGGGTTCCTGAGGAGAAAAATGACCGTCCTGAATATGGGGAAAATCTGGTCTTGCCGAGGAGACGGGGAGGTTTTTAATTAGTCCCTCCTTAGTTCCTGGAGGAGACTGTAAAAGAAAAAAGATTCTTATTAATTCAAAATTGATTTTCCAGCTCTCTGAAGGCAACTTCCCAAAACAAAGACTGATAATAACTAACCAGATTTTTTAAATGAGCGTGATTTTGTGATGGTCAGAGATTTTTTCCCTTCCCTGTTATTTCTGCTTTGTAATGCCTGTTTTGTTTTCTTTATGTGCTCTGCGTCTCTATCTTGCTCTTTGTTTCTTTCTTCCTACCCTGAGTGGCCTCACAAAAGGCGCCCTACCGAGACTTAACTTAGTTTGTTTTATGCTGGGGTAGAGAGTGTGGCAGCAGGGGCTTGGCAAATGAGGGCTGAAGTGGGATGTAATGGGGTTGAGAACTAGAGCTCTTGGGAGCGATGTTTTGTATAACTGAAGATAGCTTTCCACTCTAAAATTAGATAACCAAATAGTCAAATCCATCATTTCTTCAATTTTTAATGATTCAAAAGCAGATTTTCTCCCCCAGCATGAAGATTAAGTAAAGAGCAGAATGAGATGCCCATTACTGTCTCGGTGATATGTTGGTATCATAATAGCTTCACTACATAAAAATATCATTATAATATATTCTGTCAATTATTTCAACAAGGATTCCAGACTTCCTACTATGGAACACCATTTGCAATTTCATATCTTTAGGAGAAAGGGCTTAAAGAATAAGAGAATGTAATAAACTTCTGGGGAAGGTAAGTCAGCCTTCCTTATTAACTTTGTTCACCTTTGAGCCAAATCTCAATTTCTTCGGATCACTCTGATAAAGCAGTGTATTCTCCAATATCTGAAGGTGTTGAAGAAAGATATTGCTTCTGCAATTCTTACTGAAAGCGGAGCTTATCAACTGTGAGCCTAAATCATTGTCTAATATTCTGTTGTGAGGTTCGCTGTGAATTGCTTTTTCTCAATTTAAATCCTTTCAATGAGGATAGTCACAACATGGTTTTTATTTCTTATGCATGACAGCTGAAACAAGGCCAGTCCTCCAACACAGCATTAGGTTTCTTTTGGATCCTCTGTCCCCGTAACAATGCATTTTTCTGTCTCAGTCCTGTTATTTTGGAAAATCCTTTAAAAATCAGATCACATCTCATTAATTTTAATAAAATTGTGCTAACATCACCAATATTTGCCGTTCACAATAAATTGTTTACCAAAAAAAAACTTTGATTTTTCAATTGTTTGCCAAAAAAATAAACATGATTTACCAAATAAATCATGAAGACTGATGCTAAACTGTGGTATTACAGTATATAATGCAAATGTGCAGAAAATAAAGTAAATATATTATAGGCTATCATGAGCAAGAAGTCACAAAGCAATATTTATTATTTATTTAAGAGGAAATATTTAGAAAGTAAGTGAAGTAAAGCAGGAGATTTTTGTACTTAATCATTTCTAGAAGAAAATTTAAGTATTTCATTCATGCGAAATATTGACTTATTTACAAGAGATTTACGATGGACAACTTTTGGTTAAGTCAATTGCTTTCCATAGAAATGTTTATTTCATTCATATATATTTCTTTTTTATTAATGAAAATGAAAAAAAGAACATTATGAACTTGATAGCCATGACCTGTTCATTCTTACTCCTTTTTTGCTTTAGGTTACACTATGAATGTGTTTAGACTATGAGTATAGGTAGTGTAAAATTCTATTTTTATTGTATTTTCCTATAAACAAATGCATGTATAAGCATATCTTTCTATGGGTTTTTTCAGCAAGTCAAATCTTATTTCTTTAACATTTTGGCTGGAAAAAAATAAGAAAAAATAATCTAACTGACATGCCTTCAATTTATTTCTTCTTTTTGCTCTCATCAAGAGACAGACATATACAAACACTAAAAAGTAAAAATAATTATTCTTGGCCAAAAATAGTTAGAAGGCAATAATTAATTTTCCAAGTTTTTCCATAACTTAAGGAAAATGAGGTAAAACCTGGACAAAGGGCCTTATCTGCTTATATATGTGTAGGATACGAGACTTGTCTGAAATAGACATACTGTAAGAGTCCTAATGAGAAATACTTGAGATTTGAGGCAGTATCATGCTTCTGTGCACACACAGACATGTGCCAGAAAAAGCTAAAATTAAAAACAAATGGACAGAAAGCGTCAACTCTCTTATCTCCTTGGGGAATACTTTCAGGAGCCAGGAATAAGAAAGAAAGCGTCTCAGAAGTATTAATGCCCAGGAGAACGGTGAAAGGAGTATATGCTGATTATTAAGTCAGAGTATATATTCAGGATCTTTAAAATAAAGTGGCACATAGAGGACTTCATTTAAAAAAAAATGCATGGAAAATAAATCTTCCTAAACTAAGAAACATGATCAAATACTTCCTACAAACAACACAAATATTTTGAAGACATTTTTCTTTGGCCTAAGTAATACAACTATTGACTGTTTTGGCATTTTGAGGTAGATATAAATACCTTTTCTCAATGGGTACCAACTAATATTAAACAAGTATATATTGGAAGTTTCTTATTTGTTGATTGGGATACTATATTGATTTATGCTAATTTGAGTATTTTGAAAAATTAGCTGTTACCTTTTAGAATGCCATCATTATCTTCAAGCAAACAGTAGCTTTAATCTTACTGTATTTTGCATCTCTGCTAATTATGGAATTTTCCATTTGATTCCTTTTTCTTGTTTTATTTTTGCTCTACTCTACCCTCTTTCCCAATAAACACAAACACTTCTCAGAAAAAATCACGACTTCCTATTAAAAAAAAATGACCTCCTATTAAAAAAAAATTCAGTTCAATTCTAACATCTGAATTTCATAATGATCCTTCTGCACAGTATGATCCTTCTTCATTCAATAAATAGAGCTAGAGGTTTTATCTGTAAGTTACAGCACAAAATATACGGAACCTGTTTATTTAGTTGTCCAAAGACAAAGGGAAATGGAGAATTCAGTTACTTATCCACATATTCACCGGCAAAGGAAAATGCCAGGAAAGTGGCTAATAAAAGACAGGTAGTAAAAATTGAAATGGCGAGAACTAATAACATTCAGCATTCTTTCCAGTTTTTGGATTTTATGGATGAGAAGGGAAGATGGAGATCATCCAGTGAGGTTATTCTTCTGATATTAGGTTTTTCATATTCTTTTCACACAGTAACATATTATTTTAACCTAACTTAAAGAATTTGGATACTTTATGAATCTAATTTACCTTCTGAATAACATAGCTCATTACAGGAAGGCTACTGATGCCATAGCCTATTAGATGAATGTCCTTGGAAGCACCACAGAATGGTGTTGCTAGGGGCTTCTCCTTCTACAGTTGTGATCATGGGGAAGAAGAGAGCAATTATCTTAGTTTTGTAGCCACATACTTTAGTTTAACATGATGAAAAGGCCTACCCTTACTACAAAGAATGCTTGCCCATCTGGCAGCATTTGCCTCCCAGTGAACTTACAGTCAAAACCCTACATCCCATTGATAGATGAGAAAGCTAGAAATCATGTTACTGTCATTGATCACGGATGGGAGAGGTACACTTTTACGTTTGATATTTGGAAACATTTGGAAATCAATATAGAGTAAA